GTTCCGCCGGAAGACGACTAAATCCCAAGGTCGTTACACGAACGCTCTCCCACGTGTGGCGATCCGACAAGGGACATCCAATTCACCGCCTATCAAAGACTACTACTATCCAACGATATATCAACTTCACAAAACATATGGATTATTGGTATTGCTCAAGAACCATATAGTCACGACTATTGTATCAAGATTTACAGACAGACTCATACAAATGATGAAAATTCATGGAAGAAGTCTAGATTTTATCCAATATGAACATTTCAATAAACTTAAAGAGATTGGTTCTGGTGGTTATGGGAAGGTCTATATAGCCAAATATAAATCCAACGAATGCATAGTTCTAAAATGTTTCAAAAAAAGCCAGAACTGTTTGTATCAGGTAAGCACTTCTCGTGTCGTATTATTGATTAACTACTAACTAATCAAAATGCTAATTTGTCAAATGTTTGTTTAACATAACTAGTGCATAGCACAGGAAAGGGGGAGCTGTAATAATAATTTGAGCAAAAATAATTTGAGAAGTGAATAATAACATATGAGTCTTATTGTTGGGGAAATCTTTGAATAAACAATGACCAGAGTCTTTGGTTTTCTGTAATCACTTCTTGATCTATGTGATTTTGGTCCTCTTCAAATGCATATAAATCTAAGCTTTCCCAACTTGTTGCATGACTAAAGGCAACATAAACTTGCCCACATGCAAACATTGTGTCATCAATTGATAGGGATACATGGGGAAGAGTTGACCCTTGTGTTTTGTGTCAGTGAGTGCAAATGCATTCTGGAGAGGAAATTGAGTATGAGAACATGGTCACCATTAATAAGGAATAAATTGGTTACACGACGAATAGATGCAGGAGTCATTTTGGTGATGAAACAGACCGATTTGTGGGAAACACAGTAACAGATTGTAGGAGAAATTAATATCAAAAGGAACCCCATTTGACTTCGTCGGGTGTTAATAATTTGGAACAGTGACAGCATGGCATACATGGAAAATAAAAAAAACGCACAGAATGTAAATTATGTTTGATTTTTAAAAGTTTACGAGCAGGACGGCAATAATTACGAGTGAAAGTATTGATTTCGTGTATGTATAATTGGGGAATAGCAGAAGAAATTGGTCGATTTGGGTGTAAAACATTTGTGTATTGCGTGCTTCAAAGCCTGATTATGAACGCAACATCTTCTTCTTGCATAGGAATAGATTCGTTATCAAAATCAGCCGCAGAGTAAATACGAATATTGAATGCCATATTGTTTTTTATTGAAAAGAAAGGACGAATTTTCATGCATATTTAAACTCGTAGTCATGTAAGTTGTGCTACTTAACACAAAAATCAATGCATATAGTGATCGTTTTTACCAAACATCTAACACGGAGCATCTACCTTTTTTGGGAAAAGCTAAACTCTGTTTGTTTGATTTTCTACAGCGATCAACTGTTTATTAAAAAAATGGTTTACTCAATTTATATACACATACGTGGATGATCGCAAAAAGATGAATGAAAAAAAAAATAGAGAATAAGAAGGGCAGTCTTGAGTAATATATGTATGTATTTTTATGAATGTGGTGTAGTTTCACTTAGTAATTTAGCGGGGATTTGTGATGGTGACACAGTTTGCGATCGGGTTTGCCGACGTTTGGTTGTTGTTGTTGGAGACGGTGACTTGGTTCGCTTGTTTCCAGTAATTGGTGTAGTTTGAATCACCGATTCGCCAGACGTATTGGAAGCGGAAGATGCTAATATTAATATATTATTATTATCTTTGTTTGCATGTTCTTGGAAAGTTCGATAAAATGCATGAAAACGACTAAAGTCGGTGTCAGCCATAGCATCGGGAGGTGATGTTGTGAACGCGATAGGCTATGTCTGAGGGTTCTTCTCAGTATTGCTTCATGGTTGGGCACTGTGTGGTTAACGATTATACAAATCACTCTCGTAATAGCCATCTACAATTATAACTCGCC